GAACTCAGGTCAGTGCAGGCCACTTGGCTTGGCAAGCTATCTGTTTAGCTCACCCTCTTCCCAGGATGGCTCGATCCTGACTCAGAACCTTTGGCGGAGTGACTAGCTGCAGGAGATGTGACTATTAAGGAGAGAAGGAAGAGAAAGCAAAGTTCTTCATCAAGTTTACTGTGACAAAAAGCAGGACAGCGAGGAAGGCAGAGAAAAAACAAGTCCTTTAGAAGGTCTCCATCTAATTTATGTACCTCACAACGACAGGAGTGAGGTCACTGGTCACTGGTATGCTCAGAGGAGGTGTCACACACCAGCCCTGTGCTGAAGGCTTCAGTTTCATCTATTCAACATTCAGTAAATGGTGGCTGTGTACTTACTATTTGTAGGGTAGGATACAGCAGTGAGTAATTCCCATATGGAATTCTTTTTTGTTGTTTACTTTGTTTTCAAGAGACAGGATCTTACTATGTTGACCAGGCTGGCCTTGAACTCCTAGCCTCCTGAGTCGCTGGGACTGTGGGCACCAGCCACCTGTACTTGGCATGGTGCTTACATTGCGAAGAATAGGGGAGAAGGTGTACAGACAATTAACCAAATTAAATATGTAAATAATGTAACAGAATATTTTAGAAGAGGGTAAGTTTCATGGAGAAATACCAATACAATCACTCTGAGAGGGACGTATTATTAAATTAATTGGGCCACACAGTTGAGTAGTAGAGCTTCAACCATAAATCGCGTCTTTTTGAACGAAGCTCCTGCTCTTCTTTTCTGCCCTCTGCCTTAGCTAGATGTTGAAACAAGGAAAGATTGGAAAGGTCAAGGCCGTCTCTAATTTTGTAGCTTTTTCTAATCGCCTGGAGGCAGTTACAGAATACTTTGGCATATGGCAGTAGAGAATTTATGTGGACTATATGTTTCAGTAAAGAAACGATCTTTCCTCTGCTAGCTGCAAAGATGTTTTTGAGGTCAGCACTTCAGCCCTAGAGCCGAAGACGAGCTAGAATGAAAATTCAAAAATTCTCCTTAAGAAGATAATTTGTATTTCCATTGAGTGCAAACCCACCAGCGAGCTTGCATGCAGTTCTGAACGTTGTCATTGACAAGCATTGATACTAATCAGTGGCCTGTTTCCAGCATTGTGGGAATCATTTGATCTTTTATTAAAGAAAATTCTTCCAAAAATATTAATTTAAAAATTAATGTCAACACTCTCTGACATTCCATCTCTGAATGCTGAAGAAGAAAAAAGTTTTAGAGTTTTTTAATAATCTTGGTAAATATTATTTGAACTTTACTTCAAGCCAAAACAAGTTTCATGGGGAAAAAAAATCCTTTCTTCAGCCATGGGCAATAAATTTGGCCAGGAGGATCTGGAAGGAAGAAACTGAACAAGCTAAATACTAAGTGGACATTCATAGCCACGAACACCATGATTTTTAGAGACATTGATGCTCTCCCCTAAAATAAAAAATTGTTTTCAAGAAAATCCTCAATCTTGTCCATTGGCTCTTTATCTTCTGAGTGGGTATGTGGATATATCACATGGGCTGGTTCTTTTTCTTTTTATTTTTGTAAAAAAACCAGTGGTTAATTAAAAAGCCACTGCCTGGACACATTATCCAGTGTTTCTCGTAGTTGGTGGAAAGAAGAAAGAAATGGAAGGCTAAAGATTTGCTCAAAATCCAAACCTCTCTCCCAAGATCAAGGCGTTTAAAGGATTAAGGAGGATATGTGTGTGTATGTGTGTGTGTGTGTATGTGTGCATGCGCATGTGCGTGTACATGTCTGTTGTGTTTGTAGCAGCTGCTGTATTAGCTAAGCTTTACCTCCTTTTCTATAAATGGAACTTTTGCCTTTCATCTCTTTTTAGTGTTGCTTACTAGGAAGATATATGAAGGGCTTGAAGCAGGAGAAAGGATTCCAAAGGGTACCTCACTCTTCTACGGCAAGGAGAGTGTATTTATTGTCTTTTGTTTAGTAATTGCTTCAGTTGGTAGAGGAAAAGGGAAGACAGACAAACAAAAACAAAGAAGAGAAAAGAAGAAAGTGGAAGGATGAAGGGGAAAGTGGTAGGGGATCCTAAAGGGCTCTGAATTGGCTTAGAAGCAGAGAAAAATGAAAATGGCCTAAAGAATTGGATAGTAGTAGGCCAGGCGCGGTGGCTCACGCCTGTAATGCCAGCACTTTGGGAGGCCGAGATGGGCGGATCACGAGGTCAGGAGGTCAAGACCATCCTGGCGAACACGGCGAAACCCCGTCTCTACTAAAAAACACAAAAAACTAGCCAGGCGAGGTGGCAGGCGCCTGTAGTCCCAGCTACTCGGGAGGGTGAGGCAGGAGAATGGCGGGAATCCGGGAAGCGGAGCTTGCAGTGAGCTGAGATCCGGCCACTGCACTCCAGCCTGGGCGACAGAGCGAGACTCCAACTCAAAAAAAAAAAAAAAAAAAGAATTGGATAGTAATTCTTTCAATCCCAGGCTCTGAATGAACTTGGCTCAAAAAAATAAGGTACAGATGGTGAAATGAAGTTAGCTCAGTGACATTATTTGGTGAAGAAGAAAACAAGCAGTTTGTTTTCTTCACGTGCTAGAAGTTAGATCTATTTACAATAAAGCATGGAATGAGAAGTCATGTAACCTAGACTTCAGTCTGACTCTGCTGCTCATCAGCTAGGTGACCTTGGCCAAGCCACTTGAAGTCCTTCAGCCACAGCATGCTGGCAGCAGTATTACTCCTCATTCCTAAGTCATAGGATTGCCTTGAGGATCAAATGAGATAACGTATTATATGTTTATGCTGTCATTCAATAAGCATTTGTTGAACACCTACTATAAACAAATGGACACATTCGTGGCTCATGAAGCTTACATTCTAGGTATATTCTAAAATGTATTTCAGTATATATTGCAATATTTGAAATATGTTTATATATACTATACAGCATTTTTATAATACACAGAAACATATTTTACTTTATTCTGTAAAGATGATGAGTATGCTACTCTCTCTTATGGTAGAATTTGATAAAAGCATCTTTGTGGATCCCATTCTACACATACTTGGGTGTGGATATGTGAATCGAAGTCTAACTGAGCAGCGCTTATGGACTGTTGGCATGCCACCTTCCCAGCACTCAGCTGAATCTAGCTTATCTCTATTCATTTAGTTTCTCAATAGATAACTAGTGCTGCCAGAAAAAAAAAAAACCCACCTTGAAAAGAAGAGTGAGAATGTCTGTAGGTAACTCAAACAGAAGATACCAATTGCTTTGGTTAACTTAAACAGGATGTTCACACTCAGGTAGGCTCATGGTTCTGAGACTTGCTGAGTGAGGTACTGTAAACTGCTTTTCCTTAGCTGAGACAATACAATATTGTCAAATGGAAAACAAGTTTGTAAATTACTTTTATTTTATAGAAAGAAGAGTGAGAGCTCATTCTCAAAGGCCAGAAAGTCACTGCTATGATTGTTGATATCTGAATAAAACATACTCAGAATTTGCCCTTGCTTGAAAATTGCAGGGTTCCTGGAAAAGGATCAAGATTCTCTTTTAGCTTTCTCACCCCTCCCCATCCTTTCCTATTCTAGTTCTGTTCAGACAGTTTCCCACAAGACAGGGGGTAGCCAAGGTCAGGGGCAATGGAAGTTCATCTGGATGGGGTGTGTGTGCTGCAATTCCATCTCCTGAAGGGAGGATAAATTGCAGCCAAGCAGCAACTCAGGAACTGCACACATACCAAAGAACCCTACCTCCAGAATAGTGACCCTGGACCCCAATTGGTCCCAGCTGTTGAGAGGGATGAGATGGAGATTGAGAGAGGTGATGCTGTTAGAGATGGAGATATGTCAAATGGAAAACAAGTCTGTGAATTACTTTTACTTCTATTTCACAGAAGGGAGGATGACAGCTCGAATTAAATATTCTAGAAAAGTGATTGCCAAGAGATATGTTCTTACAATTATCCTTTTGCCATGGTCTATTCCTGGAAGGTGTGGTGTGGCTCCCATGGCACTTGTTGCATGACCTTGTGAGTTTGTTCTTTGTCTTAGTCTATTCAGGCTGCTATAAAAACTACCATAGATCAAGTGACTTATAAACCACAGACATGTATTTCTCACCATTCTGGAAGCTGGAAAGTCCAAGGTCAAAGTGCTCACAAATTTGGTGTCTGGTGGGGGCCTGCTTACTGATCCATTGTTGGCTGTCTTCTCACTGTGTCCTCACATGGTGGAAGGGATGAGGGAGCTCTCTGGGGTCTCTTTTATTTGGACACTCATCCTATTGATGAGGGCTCCACTCTCATGACCTAATCACCTCCTAAAAGTCCCACCTCATAACACCATCACACAGGGATATGGATTTCAACATACGAATTTTTTGAGAACGTGGTTGAAACACAGCGCTTCCTGAATGCACTTTTCTGTCCACCCAATTTCTACTACCATATCTCTCTATGAACACCAGAGAGACAAAATCAACATGTAGTATTGCAGGAATGAAATGAATAGAATGAACATAGCATTGATTTTATTGTATTCTGTTTAATCTTGGCACCACTGCTATTGTGATAATAATCTGGATCACTTACTGATCATTCACTATGTGCTAGGAATTATTTAGTTAATTGCTTTACCTGCATGGTTTTCATTAGTTCCCCCCCAACAACCCCGTGAGTTAGGTTTGAGTATCATTCCCATTTACAATTGTGGAAACAAGCTTAAAGAGTTGAGTAACTGAGTCGCCCAGAGTGTGAGTGTCAAGGCCAAGACTTGAAACCCTGACTTATCTTCATCCCTCATCCTTCAGCCTTCAGCCATTCTGCCTTGCCTTTCATATTCTCCTTGTTCTGGTACCACATCACTTTTCTTTCTTTTCTTCTTTCCTCCTCACTCCCTACCTTTAGTCTTTCACCCATTATAGAAACCAAATGGTAACATTCAATTAAAAACAGCCACCCAAAAGGAAAGCTAAGAATGTTATACACAGAGCATTAATTTTTTTCTCATTCTTTTATGTTTGGAAACGTATGTGTTGGTTTCATGATGGCCGGAGGGCAGACCCAGTCCTTTCCCTTTGGTAGATACACCAAACCTACTGTAGGTTTAAATGATAATAATATTTCTTAGACATCCTCAAAGAAGTTTCCAGGGACGGCAGAGAGCTTGCATTTTATAAGACAGCTGGTTTTTAATGGCTTGGCCCTTGCCAAGAACATCACTATTCAATAATTACAGGCCACTTGTGATCTTGGTAACCAACATGACAGGGCTTTTCATGGTCCTCCAAAGAGAGAATATCTGAAGATGTGCATGAACATGAATTTTCAAATGCTTAAATAAAGTAAAAAAGAAGTAAGTGATGTTTACAGAAAAGTTTGCAAAAGTAAAGAGAGCACATATAAATATCTCTGAGAGAAAGGAATAAAGTACCTCAAAGAACTCCAGGCTTATTATGAGTAGTGTCTTGAGAGTTGTTTAAAGCAGCGGTTCCATTGAGTTGGAGTGCTTCAGCTTGTTCCACTGGGACTGGGATGGTCTGAGAAAGGAAAGGGCCTCCATGTTTCAAAGTTGGATGGGATGTAAAGAGCATGGCTCCAGTTGAGGGAACAGGCAAAAACAACATAGGTTTATAATGTGCTAATCCTCTATATAGACCCTACCCAGATGCCAGGCCTGAGTTAAATTAGGACGGAAAATTTTGGTCTGCTCAGTTCATTGCCATCCATCTATGTGAGGCATTTAAAGTATATGACTGGCAGATGTGTTGGGACTATTACCAAGTTTTTTGGTGAATACATAAAATCTATTAATAAAATACTAATACTTAACATTTTGGCCAGCAATTCACATATCATCCATTAAACTAGAGTTGAGACCTGGTGTTAGACCCTTTCTCAGCCCTTTCCTCACAGGCTCAGCCAGAGGTCTCTCCCATCACACACTGTGGCCTCTGGGCTCTGCCCCTTCTGCTGCCTCCTTGCTTGTGCCACCTTCTGCTTTGGATTCTTATCTTGATTTCCATTTTGGTGTTGATGCTTTGGAGTTTCTCTTGCTTTCTGGACCATTGTTACCTAAGGGAAAAAATTCAGTTACTATTTTCTTTGTGCTTCACACCCAAGGTCAATCCAGCCTGCTCCCAAGATCAGACAAAGTTCCTTAGATCTAAACCTAGGGCAGACCTGGCTTCTTACCCCTACTTGAATAGGGGAAGAAGCTCCATGATTATGCACACTTAAAATAAACAGTCTGTATGAAAGTCCAGTGTACCTATATATGCCCAATTTATATCTGTTCCTTATCTACAAATTCAGCGTGGGCAATTCTCCTACTCCCTAAAATCACAGGTAGGGTTCTCTTTTCCTTTTTCTCCTTCATTCTCCCTTTTCATCCACATCCCTTACAAATGTTATCACCCTAGAAATCCTCTGACGGGATGCCTGGTATTGTGCCAAGATGATGTCTTGGTGTTTGCAAAGAGAAAAAGAGTGTGAGAAACAGTTTCTCCCAAGCCTGTCTGACCACATGGGCATGTAACACTTGGCTCTGTATAAAAGGATCTGTTTATTAGAGACAAAGTAGAAGAAGAATGAAGTTGGGGCAAAATGTCCATCTTCACTGACCTTCCACCCTTGGACCTAACTCATTCTCTCCTATAGACAGCACTGGCCTTATCTGGAAGCTGAAGCCGCTCATAGTTGCAAGATGGCTCTAACAGTTTCAGGCAGTGCATCCAGACATCACATCGGAGGCAGAAACGGAATCATATCTTCCAGTGTCTTCTTTGTAAAAGCAAGAAATACTTGCCAAGTATCTCTCAGCAGGCCTTTCCTCACCTCTAATAGATCCAAAGCTAGTCATATGCCTGCCTCTCAAGTATCTGGCCACATGCGAAATAGACACCATGTCAGATGAGGCCAGTCCCTGAGGCGGTGTGCACGCTGCAAGAGTCAGCCATCAATGTTCACCATCCTGCTGCTTGTACGCTAGGCCTCCCCCTTGTCTTTCTCTATGGGAGGTGTAGAAGGAGGCCTGCAACATGAGGTTTGAGATGGGTTGCATGGCAACTATCTGTGTTTCCATCATTACTGGGGATAATGGCCTCAGAAAGTCACAGAGGACTTGTTTCAGAGTCGGGAAAGAAGAGGGGCAGCTGTGAGATTTCCATTTTGTGGGGAAGGAAAGTGACATTTACTGAGCCCCTCTACTGAGTGCTGATGGTCCCCCTTCCCTAGACTTTCCTCCTAGAGTCAAGATGCAGTAGCTGAGCCTCCTGGATGCAGTGAGACACAGAAGGCCCAGGACAACACCACCAGAAAGGAGACCACCCACTTCCCACGAGGGAGAAGGCCGTGTAGACTCGCCTTTCTCCTCGTTCTTCTGTGAATTCCTCTTGTATTCTACAGATCTTGACTCAAACTCTAATTCTTCAGGAAAACCTTCTTTGACACCCCCACCCCAGCCTGCAAGATTAGGTCCCCTAGACTCCCTTTCTATAAGCTCTCACTGCACCTTGAACTTTGTCTTCCTGTTATTTATCATGCTATGCCACTATAAATATTTACACAATTATTTGATTAATATTTGTCTTTCTGGCTAGACCATAAGTTCTGTTAGGGTCCCATCTCATGGCTGTGTGCCCCTACATACTAGACAGTCAATGCATGTTTTTGAACAAATGAATAAAAGGATCATTTATGTTTACTTTGAGGATTCTTGTTCTCTCAAACACAGCCTTCTCAGTGGTTTACTTTCTGTGCTAGAAAAAAAGTGTGATTAGTCTCCATTCTACAGGCATGTCAACCAGATAATGTTTTTCCATGACTTAGTGTTGAAGGACTTTTCTAACTTACCGAAACATCACTAGTAATAGTAGCCCACTTCAAATGTGACTTTCTTACTTAAGGACCCAGAAGATGCTAAAGGTTGTTGCCAAGAAGCCAAGAAGCATCTAAGCATTTCCTAATACACTCAATGGCTGGCACATAGCAAGTGTTCAGAAAGTATTTACCCTCTTTCTGTCCTTTCATTTACGTTTGCCTTATTTTCTCATTCATTTCTCCTCCTCTCCCTCCATTTGTTTCCTCTATCAGTTTTCATCTTTTCTCCTCTCGCTCCCTTGCCTTCCCTCTTACTGTGGCTCCTTGGCCTAGAAGATTCCTGAGGCCTCCACCTGCACTGTTCAATATGGCAACCACGAACCACATGTGGCTACAGAAAGCTGGAAATGTGGCTAGTCCAAATTGAGATGTCCTGGAAGTGTGAGGTGGACAGAGTTTCAAAAATTTAGTATGAAAAAGGAATGTAAAATAGCTCATTAATAAATTTTATAATCATTGTGTGTTGAAATGGTAATATTTTAGATAAAGTGGATTAACTAATATGTATTAAAATTAATTTTGCCTGCTTCTGTTTAAAAATGTGGCTACATTTTAAAAATATAAAATATTTTATGTGTGGTTCATATTTCATTTCTATGGAAAGTGCTGATCTAGACTGCGCACAGGTGGTTTTTTTGGTGGTAGGAGAAGGAGCTGTATATTTGAAAGGCAGCAAGTTGCATTGCTGAATTCTCAGCAAATAGTATAAATTTGTGTAACACCTTTTAGAGCTTATGTGGACAGAGTGCTGGAGAAATATGCAACATTATTCTCCAAAATAGTGTTTCTCACTTTTATTTTTTGGGAGATGCTAAATATATGTTCACTCTAACGTCTTCTCAGTCTATATTTGGTGTATCTCCCCACCCGCAAAGAATTTGTTGAGCTTGAGTAACTATAATGTGTATTAGGAGAGTAATAAAAATATTGCTTTCCCTAAACGGTGTATCTCTTCCCACCACTGTGGGTTATCATACTGTTCACTCCTTGGGAGTATTTCTTGTCAGTTAAAACTAAAACCACAATTGGCCACAGCCAACAGCTAATGGCCTTTTCTAAGTTGCAGCTGCTTTGACAAGGCAAGAACATCAAATTGTTCATCTTTGGGATGATATATAATAAACTATTATGGAGAAAATATAGGATTAGATCAATTGATACAAGTTTCAATTTTCCTTAAAATCCACATTGCTATATCAAAAGTATTCAGATTTAAGTGGAAAAATTCTCAACAGCAAACTTAACAGAAATTAGGATGTTCAAGTGTCTTTACCACTACCTAGTTGAATGAATTTGGTCAAGTCACAGAATTTAACTTCTTTGTGCTGTGTATCTGTTTTTAAACTTTTATTTACTTCTTTAAGTGGAAGTAATACCTGTTCTATTCAAGGAGAACTGTTGATTGAGAAAAATACATACAGCATTAACAACAATTCAAGGAGGAAGGAAATGATTGATAAGTAGAAATTCAAGCAATGGACCTTATGCTTTGAATTTGTTTTCTGGGAAGGCAAGTTTGAAAACTACTGATCTCAAATAATAAGTAGGTGAGAATCAAAAGGAATATTCTGAGTATAGGGGTGAGTGGTGGTGCAGAAGTATTTAATGAGGGAAGACTAGCTTTTCCAGGTGTTAAAACAGACTTTAAAGCAAACATAACTAAGACATCATGGACCTTAAAGAACATGAGAATCACTGGAACAAACAAATGGCTCAGAAATCAGTGGAGAAACAGTTCAATAGGGAAATAATATTTTTTAAAAAACAAATAGTGTTGTGTCAACACATTATCAACATGCAAAAGAATAAAGTTGGAACTATTCCTTACACCATATGAAAAATGAACTCAAAATAGATCTTAAACCTACACGTAAGAACTGAAATTACAAATCCCTTAAAGAAAACATCGGCATAATCTTTGTCAACTTAGATCAGGCAATAGTTTGTTAAAATGACACCAAAAGCACAAAAACTAAATATATATTATTTTTGGCTGGGCACGGTGGCTCACGCCTGTAATCCCAGCACTTTGGGAGGCAGAGGTGGGTGGATCACCTGAGGTCAGGAGTTCGAGACCAGCCTGGGCAACATGGAGAAAGCCCATCTCTACTAAAAATACAAAATTAGCTGGGTGTGGTGGCGCATACCTGTAATCCCAGCTACTCGGGAGACTGAGGCAGGAGAATTGCTTGAATCCAGGAGGCAGAGGTTGCAGTGGGCCGAGATCATGCCATCGCACTCCAGACTGGGCAATAAGAGTGAAACTCCATCTCAAAATATATATATATATATATATATGTATGTGTGTGTGTGTGTGTGTGTGTGTATATATATAGATAGATAGATACACACACACACACACATTGTTCTTTGTAAAAATAAAAAGAAAATCTTACTTCATCACTGCTTTTAAACATTGTACTGGGAGTTCTAGCTAATGCAATAAGAACCCCTCTCCGCACCCCCAACCGAAAAGGAGAGAAAAGGTATACAGATTGGAAAGCAACAGATAAAATTTTCTTAGATCACAGATCAAGGGATTGAAAAGACAAGCCAGAGACTGGGAGAAAATATTTGCTAGAGACATATCAGGTCAAGGACTGCTATCTAAAATGTACAAAGAACTCTTAAAACTCAATAATGAGAATGCAAAAACTCTATTAAAAGTAGGCCAAAGACCTTAATAGACATCTCACCAAAGAAGGTATACAAATGTCACGCAAGCATACAAAAAGATGTCCATATCATATGTTGTCAGGGAGAGGCATATTAAAACAACAACGAGATACTACTACACACCTATTAGGATGGCCAAAGTCCAGAACAATGACTACACCAAATGCTGGTGAGAATGCAGAGCAACAGGAATTCTCACTTATTGCTGGTACAGCAATACACAGTCACTTTGGAAGACAGTTTGACAGTTTCTTACAAAACTAAACATACTCTCACCATATGATTCAGCAGATGCTCCTGGTATTCACAAATGAGTTCAAAACTTATGCCCACACAAGGCCCTGCACACAAATGTTTCTAGCAGCTTTATTGACAATTGTCAAAACTTGGAAGCAACCAAGATGTCCTTCATTAGGTGAATGGATATATAAACTGTGGTACATCCTTACAATGGAATGTGATTCAGTGCTAAAAATAAGTTATCAAGCCCTGAAAAGGCACAAAGGAAACTGAAATGC